AGTGCACGTTCAACGCAGCTTTATTGGCCGTGTGTGCGTAATTTGACTCTGTTTTTCCCATATATATTCCAGTCAACCATAACTGGATTATATTACATAATAAAAAAAGATAGCACCAAGGCCAGTTCACTGAGCTGAACAGTCTGGCACATGAATCCACTGATGTGCCAGACAGGTCCGGGAGTAAGCAGTAGACAAAAAGTGTTTGTACACAATGTGTCAAATTACGTTTGGGTCTCGCTTCCCATCAATATTAAAAAGTCCCTTTGTTTACCGTATCTTACTCGTGCACAGAATAAAGGCTACCAGTCCCGCATATGTGCATTGTTTATCTCATTTGAAGATAAATATAAAGTTTAACTTCTCACTGTTCCCAATTGTATACTTTACTGTGATTTCCTTTGCTTTTATAGAAGTCAGATGACTGTACGGTTTATGTGCAGAGCTCCAAAGGCTTTACCGAATATGGCCAAAAAGGTAGGCTGCAGCACACCAGCCTGCCAGGGGGCAGACGGATTCCAACACACGCTTAGAACAATTAAATGACCTCATCTAAAAGTTGTGTTTTGCTCACATTACACATGCCTTAAGATTCAGCCAAATGGCAAGGTCACCAGTCCATTCTAATTCTTTGCAGCTGGCTTGGGGCTCAGACAGGAAGGAGGGTGACAGATGAGTAGACAATACACGGTGGTTATGTTTTTGTTGCAATTGGAAAAAACAACAACACTCAGGCCGAGAATGTCCTTCAGTGCCGAAAAGTGGCTTTCTTAATTACACTCCTGAATGCACAACGATACGAAGGAGGGCATTTGGGGAGCTTTACACTATCTCGGTTTACCTGGACACTGAATTAAACTGGCAATGAAAGGCTGCATTTGCTTCTCCGTGCGACTACTTACGCAGAGCCAATAGACCAGATTACGATGTAACCCAATTACCACTATGAACATCTAGTTCACATTTTTGTAAATGCTACAGCGAGGCATGCCAGACATATCTTGATCTTTATAAAACGCACGCTTTGTGAGACTCAACCTAGCCTGAACTAACCACTTGGCTAGCTTACAAAACATGCAGTCAATAAACAAATAGATAAGGGTACGTCATTAAAAGTCTTGAAGCGGGCTTTGAAAGGATTATTTCCTGGGGCACTTTCACCTCCACTCATAGGTCTCAGGTGACTGACAGTAAATGACGCGTAATGGATGCATGTACTAAAATGAATACATTCAATTCAAGCACAAATAAACAACAACAGACCCCAAATTAGCTCGGATTTCATGTTTCATTGTTTATAATATTTTACAAATGGTTGTTTTAAAGACATATGTTGTGTGGCTGTCATTTCTGCAATTGGTTAAGTGTATTGCAATTATCTTTTGAATTGTATATGGTTTGGCCGCTCCTCTTTCTGCTGACACACAATCAACGCTAAATCAATGTCATTTCGTCTGTCACACAGATGTAAGACTACACATATCCTGGAGGTGGTTCCCAGAGGCAGAGTGGGCAAATAAAAGCCCTGACATGTGAATATTGAACGATATTACAACTAGCATTGCTTATTATTATCATCATCCAGTTTCACTTTCCCATTTAGGTTTCACCTCATTTGCCCTGCCACATCTCCCCTCCCTTACAGGCTGGTTTACTTGTGGCCTGTTGATGAGCACGTCTGCTACCTTGATTGCGGGGATATACATAAACAGTTGTCATGTGAGACACTGTGACCATATGGCAGGCTCAACTGAGCATTTCAGGGTCATTCAGCAGGGGTTTTCGGTAGCTCGTAGCAGCTGGACAGATGTGACGACAGCGGGTCCAACAGCTTGCAGGTATTTGGTATAAAAGGTATTTGTGAACCACTATAAAAGGTGGACTACATGGAAAACAAGGTACCGCTGTGGATCGGTGTCCTGCCCTAATGAAGACACAACCCAGGTCCAGAGCAGTACAAAAAAACAACAACCACAACACAGGCTTATGAATACACAATAAGGCGATGACAGTTTCCACACACGTGAAGTGGATGTGCTCGGTAACCTGCAGACAGAGAGCTGCTGAAAGCCGGAACAAATCCACCAACCCGGCTGACTGCCATGAGTTAACGGTCCAGCTCCTAATGGATGCAGCAACAACAGCCGGATGACATGTGTCCAAAGGGTATTATAGATTAGATGTGGACGCTGGCATGCCTTGAACTTGTGTGTGTGTGCCTTTCAAAAAGCATTCTTTCTGTGAAACGAGAGAATACGAGGAGGAGGACAACTCTGGCTCGGTTCCACACATTGTGTTAAGCCAGAGAAACGGTGGCCCGACCGAACTAAACAAGGAGGAGACACACACAAAAAAGGCATGCTTGTACTACATCTTCTCGCGATCCAAGCACGCACACACACCTCCGTGGACTAGTTAAAAGCAGACCTTTAACTAGTTCATTAACGTTATGTTATAATCGCCAATGGGCGATGTGGTGAGTGCAAAGTGACCCCGCGTATCGGTTGGCTAACGAGCACTACGTACCCAAACCAACGCTTGCCATCGGATGAGACCACTAATTCGTGACAAAACGACACACGTCGATAGGATGTCATGTATGGCGGTTATATTTAGACCAGCGGCCGAACGTATCGTGGACTTCCACGCATGTGACACGGACAGCTAGCCAACCAGGTACACCCTCGGTGCTCGAGCCAAATGCGGCTAGCTGGCTGAATGGCTAGCTAGCTAGGTCGGCTAACGGCAGAAAAGAAGCTAACTACAGCTAGCTAGCAGCTTAACGGGAGAAACCCAAACGTTCACAACACTTCAAGCTAACCGAGGACGACCGGGTCGGTTGTCTAAATGATAACGTGCATTTGGTAAGGTCTTACCTTTTGAGTATAGAGATTTGGGGGAATTCAGGTCGAGATCCGAGCTAAGGAGGGATACGAAATCAGAGGGCATCGCAGCGCTTCATCGAGGGGAGGGGAAGCGGACACTCTTTGGTAGAAACGAAGTCAGCAGCTCTAATGAATATTGCGTTTTACAGGCGGAATGTTTTAATATACAGAGTATAATATCGACACAGTCTCAGCGCGGCAAAAACAAACGCTTTCAATATTTTAAAAAGAGCGGTTGACCAGCACGTCTCCCGTTACTCTGTGTCTTTGCTGCGAGGAGACACATTTCGTGCTACGCTGAGACGGACACACAACACACACACACACTTGCCTACAGTTGGTCGGCCCACCTCCTAGCCCCTCCCCCTAGGCTCCCCCCCGCTAGCCCCTCCCCCTTCTCCTGCTGAAGGGCATGCGCCGTGGACAAGCCATCAGAGAAGTAATGTCATTAAATTGGATGGTTTATTGTTCTCGTAATATCCCATTGGAACCACATGTATACACTACCAACCTTGTGTGGACCCCAAATCTTCAAAGTTTACTTAAATACAGTTCATTCTAGGCTTTCTATCACATCACCTATACCTCTGGATTGAAGCTTTATGGACTTTGTGAAAAGTGAAACATACATTTCTTGAATTTCCATCAAAATTAAGTTTGACAAGAAAGAGTTTAATGAAGTACTTCTGTATGAAGCCAAATACTGTACGCATCTCTAGCGTATTGGCCAGAGATGGAAATGTTCATTCGTTTACTTAAGCAAAAGCAATACCACATGTTGGAAAATCAAAATGAAACATTCAATATCTTTACATTTTGGTTTTTCAATTAAATTGTAATGTCGTAGCTAGTAATTGTTGCTGCACATGTATTGACATAAAACACGCAACCCTCTAAAATCAAATGTAATAAAGTAGAAGTATCAAGTGTTATAAATACATGCAGAATAAGTACGGTACTTAGTACTTACCATTCGAAGACATTGAACAGCTAGTTGCTTTAGAAACATGCAACTTTTCTTTTGACAACACTTTCCATTGAGCGTGAGAGTCATCATTTGCACAATCTATAACATCATACATTCTTGTGACTGTGCCATCCTTTTGAAGACCGCCAGATAAGAGCAAGATCCTCATGTTTCAGTTAATCAGCAACTTGACCTCTGCTCCACATTTCTGGAGAGGTAGGTATGAGCCAAAGGAAGGTGATTCTCTGAAAAGGAAAGCTGAAGCTGGAGGAAATGTCAGATTCTGCTTGCAATGTGGAGGAAGAAAGTAAGCATCTTTTCGGCCAATTATACACAACCAGGTGCCTGGTTAAACATGCGTCAGCAGATTCTTCAAAGTCAGTCAATAAAGCAGGGAAGTGTTTCCTATTTCAAGTTTTGCTCAAAGTAATCAACTAGCCAGCATACAAACCACTATCCCTTCCCTTTGCAGTAATAGCAGAAATCGCTTACTCCAATCAGGTATTGAATTACCACCCTCACAAACAGAACTTGCACAAGTAAAAGGGAAGAAAGAAGCCAGGTGTGCAGAATAGCATCACTGTGGTTACGGAAAACAATGCTATTTACAATTTGTTAGGGTGCAAGTAGCGAGCTACAAGGCTGGATAAAGCCTCTTTGTATATAATAACGTCACAACGGCATAAGTCTGTTATCGCAGCAGGAAACCGAATTAGCTCCTGCCAAATACTGGAGGAATGTTGGGTGTGGCAGGTAGAAATTCCAGGTCACCTAACACCATGGCAGGTAGTTCTACCTTATTTTGAGAAGTATACTTTTTTTAAAAGAACAACTCCTAAAGTTAAATTGTCAAATATTCGGGTTGTATAAAATATTCTATATTTCTACAATCTGGAACCACTTACCCAGTGTTTACATTTTGAAAGCATTCTAGACAGTTTTCAGACCAAAATATTTAGTGGCCGTTTGAATCATGGAGTGACCTGCCGCGGTGGCAGGTTGAGAAGAAACTGAATTTTAGGGCAGTGCTGTCAATTCCTGTAAATCAAAATTTCTCCTACATCGAACACTGTTTTTATGTGATCCATTTACAGGCGGTAAGGCGCCTGGCTTGTGTTTGGTCACTGGTGGTGCGCTTCTGATGGGTTTGATACTCGGTTTAGACATTTGGTCTCTACAATCCAAACAGCAAAACTGCCTTTAAGGAATATCACTACGCACTGTGTACATTCTAAATATACAAATAACGTATATCTGACCCCTGCTTGAAACTAATACAGTCATATCTTTTAAATTGCGAGGGAGGTTGAAATAACCAAAAACCGCTCTGCGTGCGTTTCGTCAGCCTCCATGTCCCATAATGCTTTTCGGCCTGCGTCACCGCGTGTTGTTGCGGAAGTGCCGGTGAAACGCTGTGCTGGTGATTCTCTGCTCGGACACAGTGGCATTCATTTTCTGTTTGTTTTCAGAGCAGACATTCTCGACAGGTCTTGTGTTTGTAGGGCCGTCGTTTGCTCGAATAAACGTCTGTTATGGCAGCTCTAAAATTCGCAGGTATGGACGATACAGACAGTGAGGACGAGTTGCCCCCCGGATGGGAGGAGAGGTCTAAGAAGGATGGATGGGTCTACTATGCAAGGTGAGGGCGATCCTTCCTCCGTCGCATGTCACCATAAATACACCTTTATGTAGTTGGGGCTTTAGGTTTGTTCACGACCAGATGCACGCATCGTTGTTGTCAGCCGGCTGCTAACAACGCCGGTTTAGCTGACGATGCAGCAGGTTAGAAACACTGTACGCGGATTAAAACGGCAATGAGCGCAGATTATTGGAGGTCCCGGGTGAATGTTCCCAAGTCAGGTGTTTCGAAAGAACGATATTTTTCCAGTAGGCTGTAGAACTGTAGCTCACAGGTTGTAAAGTGAGAGGCAAAACTTCCTGGTAGAGTTATACTTTGAATTGAAAAGGTGGAGCAGTGCTCCGGGTTGATGACGGGGACACGGAGAACGCAGCGAGTATGAAATACGGTTTTTAAAAGAACTTCAGTGGCACTTTGGTATTTACATTTGATCTAGCTTTTACACCAATGTCTGCCACGAACAGACTTGACATATAATGCTATGTTTTGATTTTTTCATATGAATTAGTGTCCTTGGATGTGTATTTTTTTGTAATCTATAACGTTGATTCAGAAGTAATCTTTTAGGCTGGATTGAGTGTCCTTAGTATATAACGTTAGATATATAAATGACACGTATGGGGACGTAGAAGGTTGGGTACGCTTTTCAAACTTGTTTATTTATTGTTTTTGTGGACCAGCCACGATGGGATGAAGACACAGTGGGAACATCCGAAGACGAGAAAGAAAAAACGTTGTGCTGGAGGTTTGTTATATTCACTTGTTTTAAGGGTCTTAATATCTGCGCGAGGGCCAGTAAATGCAAGTCGTATGGGAATATATTCAAACTGGCGTTGTATTTAATGGTGTTCTAACAATTTCTTTACAACTATTGGATTTAGTGGACGTGTGTCGTCTTTTTCACCGACTTTATTGTTCTTCTTAAGTAACTCACACCAGCGGCAAAAACACTAGATTTGTATTTTGGCTGTTAAATAAAAATTGCGTTTGTCTTTTCCCACAGATTTACCGTACGGTTGGGAGCAAGAAACTGACGAAAAAGGACAGATGATTTATGTTGAGTAAGTAGTTTCATGACTCTTTGCTTAATAAATGAAAAAAAAGCTTTTTATGGCCGTACAGAATATACCAAATGGTCATGTATAAACTCTTTATTACAACAACTTATATTCTGTGTAATTTCCAGCCACATAAACAAGCGGACCATCTACTTTGATCCGCGGCAGGCCTTTACAGTGGAGGACATGGTGCTGAAGCCAAAACGCTATGATGGAAACACTGCAGCTCTTGAGATCCTGCAGGGCCGTGATTTCTCTGACAAGGTTGTCCTCATTACTGGGGGAAACTCTGGCATTGGTGAGTTTCGTAAAACATTTAGCTATACTAAAAAAACATCAGTGTAGTAAAGTGTGTTTCCATGACGACACCACTAGGTGGTGGGGGTTTTACACTGCAGCAGAAGGGCGTTTGAGGAGAGCCCCACATCAAATCTAAAAGGTACATGTTTGACATAAAAAGATAATGCTAACTTCATTCCTAGAGAATGCTTTGAGAAGGGAACAGGTAAAGAGACACTGTCCATGTAACACTATTAAGTACTTTCTCAAATATTTTGGATTTTGAAATAAAACAAAATGATTTGGCCTTCTGTTAAAATAGGATGAAAAATGAATGTAAAACTGTAAGTAGTTTTCACCACAAGAGGGCACAGGAGGTCCATGAACAGTTGTTGCTGTTGCCGTATTAAAAGCGTTTCATATTAAGTGCTTCACATGTGCCAGTTTTTTGCCTTAGTTTTATCCATATTTAAGATTTGTTGAGATGTATTTAATTTATGAAAATTTGTTTGTCTGAAAAAAGCAGCTTTTCTCAAAGAAAGTATCAAATAGCTACAACACACAGACATTTTTATAGTGTGTGAATGCTTAATAAACCCATATTAACATAACCTTTGTTTCACTCTAACACATATTAAATATGCAGCCCCCATAATTAACACTATTCTAATTGTAATTGCTACTACTCGTGTGCTCCTTTGACAATCCACTAGTAAAATGTGGTTATGCCAATTGGTTGGTCCCCTAATGGCATCAATAGTGTTTTAATCCAAGTCAAGCCTATTTCCATTTTCCTTAGTCCTTATTTCCCCCACAGCAAATGTGACATTTTTATTACTAATGGTGAGATACTATTTCATTAATCAAAATTATATTTGAGCGCTTTGATTCAGTTCTTAATGCATGTGAACATGAAATGCACATATATGAGGTTATTTATGCATGAAGTGTCCCAATGACCGCCTCTGAGGCTCCTTGCTACGGTGCTGGGAGGCGAGACAGTAATGCGGTTCGTCTCGCTGGCGGGATCCCTCCTGCATTAGTCTTGCTCTCTCTGCTTTCTTTTGTAAATTAAAAACCAGTACCACCTTCAACGATGTTTTTAATTGTGATAATGTAAATGAATGATCCCAGTTTCCTCCTTTTTTGTCTACCTCTCTCCTTCTCTCCCCCTTCCCTCTAAAGGTTTGGTTACTCTTATAGACCTGTGGTTGTACACCTGTACCTCCGCATTGATTCCTAAGCGGCTTTGACCCCGGCCTTAGCCTTCTATCCATCCCCATTACACACACTCCTGCTCTAGCTCTAATTCCCCTCCTATCAACTCCTATTTACTGGGGTCCATGCAGCAATTGTCCTTAAAGGGCCATTGTCCTAATACCCCTGGCACGCAAAATACTCTTTTTCATGTAAGATTAATTGCACTTTGAATAGATTTATTTTTTATTTTAAATCTAAAATTGGTATTGTTCATTTTCCCTCACTTTTATTTTAAATTGGAACTATCAAATTGAAAATTTGATTGCTGAGGCTCCTCAAAACATCTATTACTCTACATTCGGAGTGTTGTATTTTATCTAAACACGTTTAGAATTTGGCCCTTTTCATACAGCGGCATGTCGTGGTGCAATACCTGCAGTTTGCAAAGGTCTACTCAATCTAAATGCACGCACTAGATGCCACATGGTACTGCGGTTTAGGCTCAGGGTCAGTGTTGGAATAAGAAGCAGGAGAGACCGTGGAGGATTTGGAAAGGAGCGTTTTTTTAAATAATGTTTCAGTATCTCTATGCGTCGTCCCGGCAGTGTTTTAGGACTTTGAATGCTATTCTTATTCATGAGTGAGTTCATTGAGGAGAGCATTGTTCTATGTTTTTGTTGATCCCGGTGTTGTGTTGTGAGGATTAGGTGTCAGGCCGGTGCTCTCCTCTCTCTGGATGGAGAGATCCTTTAGCATATTCAGTGAGTCGCAGAGCTGGGGGAGCCTCTGTGTGCAGATTAAACCTCTAGCCTAGCTTTGTGGTTGATCATTAGATTGAGGCATATTTGTCAAGCATAACTGCCATTAAATTGGCTGCAAAGCTCTGGTATTTACTGTGCTGCTGTTTATGAATAAGGACCCCCTTAAAGACCCGCGCAACGATGCGTTAAACCCGCGCCTCGGCAAGGAGGCAAATGCATTATTCATAGTGGGAGGAATTAGATGGATAAAAAGATGTTCCTGGTGAGGGTGGCATGCGGTGCCTGTGTCACTGAGCATCTCTGAGTGGCTGTGTGTGGTTTAGATGACATCCAGAGTGCATCTGTGTTTATATTCAGGAGTCTGGCAGTATTCCTTGTGTGTGTGTGTCTGTTGGCGGAGCGGCCGGGACAAATCCAAGGGGAGTTTTACTTTATTTTTCCCCGTCATACAGGCCTTTCATGTCCTCTCTGATGAATGTGTTTATTGGGTACTTAATGACAACCAGTTACGGTTGGTTAGTCAAATTATTTAACTTTATTAACCTTGGATGGAATTTCCTTTGCAGACCCAAACCTGTGTAACCTGCAAAGATTATTATGCTGGAGGGCAGAAGGGTTCAGTAATGATTACAGCTCTAATATAATACCACTGAAGTGGTTAGAGAGAGGATGGAATACATATATGTGCTTAAAGGCAGTAGGTAAAAAAAAGAAAGGCTACTGGGTGATTGTGTGTATCAAGTAGTTTATAGACCTATTGACTTTACAGTCTGCGGATGTAGAGGGGATGGAAGTTACATGATGATGATGGTGGTGATGGATTTGATGGCAGTGATAACTGCATGGACCGTGTATCAGAAGCACTGTGTGTGTGTATCTGGGTGGCGGGGGTAATAGAACCACTCCAGTGCTCTTGCCTGGAACATCTCAACCTTGGGCTGTAATTACTAACAATACATCCCACTTTTGGGGTGACATCTCCCTCCTCTTGGCCTAATAGTGGGGAATTAGAGAGGATCTTAAATGTCAGAAAGAGAGTAAGCAAAGGGGGCAGGAACAGGAACAGGTGCACCCGCACCGAACTGTCTTCTCTCACACACTCCTTTCTACATAAACGTCTCTGACCGATTTACTGTTTAATCAGCTGTAAATCAATACATTTACCTGTAAATCAATCAATCAATAACACAAAGTGTTGAATATCAGTATAAGAAGCACCCCGTGGTTATTTTGTATTTACAATTTCATGGTACGACATATTTGTCACATCCTCCTGCTTTTTATTTATTTCTGTAGGTACATCGGTATGGACCTCTTGATGCATGAGGCAGAGCTTGAAATGTGTCTCTGCTAACTTTGGGAGGCATTTCCAGGGATTGTGGATCTAGTGGTCTTGCAGAAAGATGTGTGTACACGCTTGGAACTCTTCTCTTTAGTTCCTTTGTTGGAACGTTTAAGGGTCGTCTAGTGGTGCATTTCACACCCTGAATTATGACACTCGAATACAATTGCTGTCGGTAAATATAGTGCACTAAATAGAAAATAGAGAGAGATTTCGGCAAGGGCCATAGGGTTAGGAGGGGGTTAGATATGATCTTCGGGTAGAATTTAGGAAGCAACGAGATTGAGGATGATCCACATCCCTCAAAAATATAAAAACAACAAACTAACCAATGCATTCTGATGCTTAAATCACTAAATTAAAATAGTGGTAGATACACAGACATAAATGTGTTGCATATTTATCATATGAGTCATTGCTTTAGAAATATAACAAACAACCTATTCTTACCTTGTGTGTCACAGTTTATAATTCCATAATGTTTGCTGTTGCTCTTGTGTTTCTTTTCTTTTTTTTCTCAGCACAAATTGAGCTGTGTCGGAATGGGGATTGTGGGAACCAGGTCTCTTTACACACAGGTCTTGTAATGATCTGAATTGACTTCTGTTTGCCCAATTGTACTATGGAGCTTATTTTAGTTAAATGCCTCTTTGGACGCAGATCAAGAGAGAAAAGGAGCAGGCAGCTTCGTTTGCCAAATAAACACGTTTATTGACGAGGCTCGTGTTGATCTCATTACATTGAGCCAATACACCTGTGTACGAGGGGGGGCTTCGGAGAGGGGCGGCGGGCCAGGGAGGACAAACAAAGCGTGAAATCACTAAATCACACTCATTATTGGGGGATATCAGTAGGGCCAGAATCCTAATGTACCATGAAGAGCATTCACTGCTTAATGGACATTTTACAGTATTTTCTACGCTTTTTCTACGTTACACTAAAACACATTTTTAACAATAGCCGAGCCACTTATTGTACTTTTGTTTGAGCCGGGCCGGATTGTGTAACTTAATTCCCCAGCTTGAAAAGGATTTTCTCACCCGGTTGTAGTCCGCTTCCTCTACGTATCTGTTTTTTTTACCAGGTTGTTGTCTGATTAGACAAAAGAACCTGGCAAACCATTACGTTACTACAGTCCTCTGTGTTTTAAAATGGCTTATGGCGTCTTGTCGATCCACCGCAGCCGACGGAAGCCCCCCATCTGACCTCTTGTCATGTTCCACCATCTGCGTACAACGCTGAAACAGCCTCCCGTTGCTGTACACCTGACCAGAAGCTCATTCCGTGCAGCCCTCCCTGCCAGCAACACGGGTGAGAGGGCGTCTCTGTTAGTCTCTGTTACAGCGCCGCCACTCCCGTTATTTCACAATTAATGTCAAGCCCTCGTTATTTGTCATTGGAAGTACACGGCTCCGGTGCTGCTGCTGTTGTTGCTGCCATATTCTAATTTTTTCTCCATTATGGAAAACACTGGTGTCGATTAATTTTACTTTCATGGTTTGTACACACAACAAGTGGAGTGCGAGGTGTTGTTGTTTACCAGCAGCCGGTACGCTTGTCCAATTTATAAAGGCTGAAAGAAATGAAGCTTTCAAGTGATGGCGTGTTTGTAATCCTTTTATTTGTTCTGCTTTCGTAGCTGCTGCTTAAGGATCGTTTGTGATACATACATTTCAAATATGCTGTAATCATAAGGATAGAAGCACGTCAGAGTTCATCACTACTAAGTTTTCATTATAGTGTTTGGATTAATTCATAGTGAGAATGTTGTTTGACATTTTGTGACACTTGTCTGCTACAGACGACTTCTACTGCAACAGCAAATTCAAATTGCATATTTATTTTATTTAGTCACACCGCTCCTTTTTTTCCCCCTGTCATGTTGTTTTTATTTTCATTTCCGGAGTGAAATGATCTCTGCTCACAGCCACAGTCCCCTCCATTACACCTAATAAAGTGTCATATAATTTAATTCCATGCTTCACATGTCAGAGATGGCTTCCAATCCGACTCCAATTTTGAGTTTTAATAGATATTAGTCCTTAATACTCTCCTCACAATTAGGCCATCCAGTTTTTCCTCCTAATGAAAATCTGATTAAGACATATAATCTAATTACAGTTTGTATTAATCCACCCTTTGCCACACTCCGTCATCGTGGCTGTCAGTGCGGGCTGCGTTCAGCGTGCGCCCTTGGCCTGTGTTCACAAGGGAGGTGGGACTGAGAAATATGAGGCCGCTCCGGTGCTGTTGAACTTTGAAAGGTAGTAAATGTCACAAGAAATATAAATGCGGCAAAGGAAAGAAAAAAATCATAACTTGATTCCACCTTTGTGGTTGAAATGACCCATTTAGACTTGTAATTTAGAAATCAACTTCTCTCCGTCTGTCTTCAGTTTTTGTCAGTTTTATCGTGACTATAGGATTCGGATGAAGCCTCGGCCTAATAAATTCTGCGTGTATCCGCTGACCTCGTTTCACGGGATAACGTCCTTATCAGCGGCACTCTGATGTGCTGTAATAAGGTTCGGTTTGAACGTTGCGTCTGTTTTGACCGTTTTGTCTGACTTCCCTCCATTTATGAGGCGTGTTTTTTGCAGTTGCTATCGTCGCTGTTTAATTCCCGGCATTATCAACAACTGACCTCCCTTCCTCCAAATCAGTGCGAGCGGCTGAACCTTCTTGAGAGCCGGCAGTCAGATCCAAAACTTTATCTAAAGAAGAGCGGAAGGAGTATCCAACCACAATAATTCAATCAGTTTCATCACTTCAGAGAGAAATGATTACCTCCATCTACTAGACCACTGGGTTGCTCAATGAAAGAAATGATATGGCAAATTGATAGGGATTTTAACTTGCACCCCCACCCCCCACCGCCCCCATCATCCCCCATCACCCCATTAGATTCAACCTCTGAGAATCAAAGTTATCTCCGGAAAAAACTCATCTTTGAAGCATTGCTGGCTTTCATTGTTCTTTTTTCCTCTTCATGTCTTTGTCTGTCTGTCTCGCTGATTGTGTCCCAGGCTTGGAGACAGCCAGGTCTTTCACTCTTCACGGCGCCCATGTGATCCTGGCCTGTCGAAACCTGTCCCGGGCCAGCAAGGCCGCCAGCCTCATTCAGCAGGAGTGGGTAAGTGACAGTCGGACCTTTTTTAAAAGAAACCAGGTCCCCCGTGTTTAAAGAGAAACCCTTCCTTAATCCAGAGAAAAGGCGCGTCTCACTTCTCACAAACTGTTTTCCGGGGAAAGGAGAAGAAACTTTGTTCGTCTGTGCTTGGAGCATTCAAGGGAAGTGAGAGCGAGAGAGAAAGTGAGAGAGGGCATCTGATAATTACCTGAGATTATTACTCTAATATCGCAGCGCGTCCCCAGATTTACGAGTGTGGGAAAATAAACAAGTGAAATGCGGGTGCTGGAGCAGAAAGAATAAGCCATTAGCACTGGGTTGATTACAGAGAGCAGGAGTTGAAGAGGAGGAAAAGAGGGAGTGCTGTGCGCAGATATGGAGAGAGAGAGAGACACTTTGAGTGAGAGCAGATCTGCAGGGTTTAAACTCACCCAAGTCTCTAATTGAAGTATCCCCCCGGGGCTGTTAGTGCTGCTCCTCTGTGCGAAATCCAGTGTACAGATCTATTAATGTAACTGCTTTGTTTAAATGAGTGATCCAAGTGCCAGATTTTTTTACTCCAATTGATTTTCAAGCTTCATACCTGCCACAGAATCACCCAAGACATTGTTAAATGTTTGTGGATTACAAATGGAAGCCGCTTAGAATTGCTTCAAAGGATAAGATGGCAGGTAAATGATAATCTTTGCTGTTTGTGTTACATCAGCGAGTTAAAGGATTGCCTTGGTAGAGTTCTCTATAGTTCAAATAGGGCATGATTAGTGAATTAGCAGGCCCTTAGTTCACTCTATATCGCCTTCTCAAGGAATTCCCCTGCTATAGAGTAATGAATAAAAGTCACAATATCAGAATAAATCTTTGCCGTAAATTCCTCCCTCTGGCGACATTATTAATAGATGGAGGAGAAGAATAGAGAGGAGGATTAATCTTTAAAATGATGGATGGACTCGGCTCGCCTTCCCATGCTCTTGCGTTGAGGTCATTTTGATAAGAAGGTATATTTTGGGGGTCTTCTGTACAAAAGGTCATCATATCTACTTCCAGGTTTCTCGACGGCAGTTCCGCTCTGGCTGCCAGCAGCGGAACTGCCGTCCCGATTGCACGGGACCTCCGACCTCTAACTGCCTGTTCTGCCATTGCTCTGAACTCTCCCTTTCGCTCCGCTCTCTCTGTCCGCGTGGGCGAGCGTCGCCGCTCAGAGGTGAAAGCGATGGCTCATCCGCGGGGCGGCGCCACGCAGCGCCGCGTACTGACAGTGGGTGTAATGGCGGGGTCACCGCTGGATAATGGGCAGGTCAGAACAACCACTGGCTGTTTGGAAGTGCGGGGTCAGAGAGCTTATCCTTCCCAGCCAGTCATTCTGCGCTCTGCACCGGTATGTCTGGTTTACCTCCACGCAATCTGTGCCCAACAGAAAGGAATGATTGACGCATTTAACACGTTTGACACCTGTCATGCTTGACATTATAGATTCTTTGGCCCTTTGGAGTCTCTTCTCTCGCACCGAGACCAGTCGCACCGAGGAGCAGCTCCGCTCATTTTTTCCACTTTCACCTCTGGCAACGGCAATCGCTTAACGAAACAAAGAGCAGGAGCTTCTGGATACTTACAAACCAGTGGGATTATATTTTCTTTTAGATAAAACAGGCATTTTTCAATATTTTTACGACTTCCTCAACGCTACGCGAGGAGGCCTGCCAAACAAGATAAGCCTGAGCCTGTGCTACAGTGCTAAAGGTAATTAGCAGAAGATGCCTCCCTTCTCTACGGAAGATTACCACAAACTCCTACAGAAGATTTTACTGCCGGAAACAAAAGTGAATCGGTTAGAAGTAAATGTAGAAGCAAATGGACCATGTGGGAACAACACCACTCTAGCAATGACTCAAAACAGTGGACAAGAGCATGCTAGAACCCAGCTAACTAGCAATGATGGAACTATGAAGAAACTGGAGGACTCTGTGCAGGGTAATAAATCTACCAGCGACAATCCTCCCTGGACCACACTTGGTGCAAAGCCAAAGAGAAGACCAGACAAGGGAGAACGGATAACTGGCAGGACCCAGCGGCCCGATATCTGTGATCTGGCCGACTGGCCTGCGTTACCATCCAGGCATAACGCCTCCTCAACCCCCGTTCTTCGTAGAACAAAGCAGCGGACAACTGAGAAGAGGGGAACTACCAAGGAACCTCCCCAGCAAACAGGTGTAAATCTACAAAACAGGTTTGCTCCACTGTTGCAGGACCATGGATCCCCCTCTAAATTTCTGGATAACCCTCCACCACCACGCAGCAGGGTAAGACCTGCTAACTTAAAGCCACAGAGAAAGCTAACGACAGGGCCTGAAAATCTGATTGTGGGTGATTTTTCTGTAAAAGATATGAAAAGTGGTAACGACACCAAAGTACTCTGCTTCCTGGAGGATATGGTGTCTGACTTGGAAGAAAGAATTTTGGAAATTGTGGCTGAACACCCAACTGTGAAAAACTTAATCCTGCACATTGGCTCTAATGACATTGAAAAACAACAATCAGAAAAGTTGAAAGAGGACTTTGATAATCTCCTAGAAACAGTCAGCTCTGTGAATGCTGAGGTGTTTATCAGTGGTCCTCTGCCCCCGACCGGGAGAGGAGCTGAGAGATTCAGTAGACTGTTTTGGGTCAACAAATGGCTCTTAACTGCATGTGCAGTTCGTTCAATGCATTCTATTAACAATTTTAGCTTTTTCTGGGACCGCAGGCATCTTTTTAAGACAAATGGACTTTGCCTGAATAAGATGGGAGCAAAGCTTTTCATTACCAACATGTTTTACATCATGCGTCATCCATCTGTCCCCACTGCCAAGGACACGAGACCAGAAGAGGAGCCCACAAAGAAGGAAGAGAAAACACAGCTTATCAGAAACGGCGAGGGAGGACCGCCATTGCCATCCCACTCCCTTTTACTCCCTTAGATCGACCTCAGCGCCCTCCCCCCCCAGCGTCCACCTGCACCAGCTCATCTCAGCGGTGACGCCATCTCACGCCGATCTGCCCCCCCACCTCTACGAAGACGTGCTCCACCTCCACCTCCACAAATCCATCCCAGCTGTGACGCTGCTCACTCCCCCCCTTAGGCCCACCCCCTCCTCCTCCTGACAGCAGCCCTGAATATTACTGAGATAGAAAAGGGTTCAGCAGTAGACCGCATTATCAGCTGGACCCAAGGTCGCCTACGTCAAAACATGGCACCTTCTGCATTCCTGTTGTGACCACCAAGAGAGTGAACATTGCGAAACTTAGACACACTGCTAATCTAACAAATCTCATTCCTATTCTCTCCAGCTCAAAGTCAACCCCAAAGCCTGTGAATAACAACATCAGGATGGCTCTGCTTAATGTTAGGTCTCTTAATAACAAATCGTTTTTAGTCAATGATTTTATTACCACTTCTAAACTTGATTTTATGTTTTTAACTGAAACATGGCTAGAACAAAATAACAGTGCAAGCATTCTGATTGAGGCAGCACCCCCCCAACTATAACTTTATTGATGTATGTAGATCTGGAAAAAGAGGCGGAGGGGTTGCTGCTATATTAAAAAATATATTTCAGGGGAAACAGATGTCACTTAGGGATTTTCCATCATTCGAATATCTTTGTGTTGTATTGAAAGGTTCTCCCAGAGTTCTCCTGGTAATTATTTACAGGCCACCTAAATATTCTGCACATTTTTTCAATGATTTTACTGAATTATTGTCTAGCATCTCTACCGACTTTGACTGTCTAGTTATAACTGGTGACTTTAATTTTCATACTGACGATTTGAATGACAAGGGTGCAAAAGAACTTTTGACTATTTTTGACACATTTGAACTGTCTCAACCTGTGAAAGAGGCTACTCATTGTAAGGGACACACCCTGGACCTGATTATCACAAAAGGTCTCATTGTTTCGGATGTTTTTGTGACTGATCCCTCATTGTCTGACCACTTCTGTGTTTTCTTTAATATTTCTTTCATTCCTGACACACAATCAAAATTAAATACTGTCAAAAAACGGTACATCAATGAACATAATAACGTACTCTTTAAAAATGTCATCTCCTCGTTACCACCTCTAATCCCATGTCATGCTGATAATCTTGTAAACAACTTTAATTCCAAAATTTTGAATGTTATAGATGACATTGCACCTGTTATGGTTAAAACCAGTTCTAGTAAGCAAAAGGCACCCTGGAGAAAAGCTGCTGTTGTAACAGCCCAGAGAAGAGAGTGCAGGAAGGCTGAACGAATCTGGCGGAATACAAAACTTCATATTCACCATGACATCTATAAAGAGCGCCTCCGGGCCTACAATTTAGACTAAAAAAGAGCTAGGGAAACATTCTTCTCCAACATCATCAACAACAACACTAATAAGGCAAAAACTCTATTTGAAACTGTTGACAGACTGACCAACCCCCCAACACAAATACCACCTGAACTCCATTACACACAGAAATGCAATGAGGTTGCGTTCTTTTATACTGATAAAATTGAAGGCATCCGACGCGCCATTAATATCTCAAACAAAAATGTTGGATCACCACCCTATTTAGGCAAAAGTAACACAGCAATGATGACAAGCTTTAAAGCCATAGACTCTCAAACTCTAGTGGAAACGGTGACAAATTTAAAACCATCCACCTGCTGTCTTGATGCTCTACCTACCAACTTCTTTAAGAATGTTTTTGACTGCCTGGCAACAGACGTATTGCAAATAGTTAATAACTCTATTCAGACAGGCCATTTCCCAAAAGCTTTCAAAACTGCAGTTATTAAACCTCTCCTAAAAAAGCGGAGCCTAGATGCCTCTATTATCAACAACTACAGACCAATTTCAAATCTACCTTTCATAAGTAAAATAATTGAGAAAGTTGTCCTACAACAACTTAATCACTTCCTGGCTTCAACTGGCTGCCACGACAATTTCCAGTCAGGATTTCAACCTCTTCATAGCACCGAGACGGCCCTTATTAAAGTTGTAAATGACATCCGTCTTAACACAGACTCAATATTAATGCTATTAGACCTCAGTGCTGCATTTGATACTGTCGACCACTCAATACTTCTGGACAGGTTGGAAAACTGGGTGGGGCTCTCAGGCACAGTCTTAAACTGGTTCAGGTCATATCTACAAGACAGGAACTATTTTGTTTCCATTGGTGACTTTGTATCAGAAACAACCGACGTAACGTGTGGAGTCCCCCAAGGTTCGATCTTAGGGCCGACTTTATTCAACATCTACATGCTCCCACTAGGACAAATCATGCAAAGAAATAAAATTGACCACCATTGCTACGCTGATGACACCCAAATCTATGTAGCGCTATCACCAAACGACTATCGCCCCATAGATCTTCTGTGCCAGTGCATTGAGCAAATCAAAGACTGGATGTGTCAAAATTTCCTACAACTAAATGAAGACAAAACTGAGATCATTGTATTTGGTGCTAAAAAAGAAAGGTTTAAAGTAACCCAACACCTTCACTCTCTGTCCCTGAAAACATCAAATAAAGCCAGAAATCTGGGGGTTATTATGGATTCAGATTTACACTTGGAGAGTCACATCAAATCAGTAACAAAATTGGCCTACTACCACCTCAAAAATGTAGCACGACTTAGAGGGCTCATGTCAGCTCAAGACTTAGAAACACTTGTACATGCCTTTATAACTAGTAGGCTAGACTATTGTAATGGTCTCCTTGCAGGTCTCCCAAAAAAAACTGTCAGGCAGCTTTTTTTGGAAGAGTTCTAACAAAGACCAAAAAATGTGAGCACATTACACTAATTCTTAAATCCTTACATTGACTCCCAGTATGTCAGAGAATTAATTTCAAAATCCTACTGCTTACATATAAATCACTACATGGTTTAGGGCCAAAGTATATCACTGATATGCTTCCACTACATAAGCCTTCAAGATCACTAAGATCTTCTGACACCAATCTGTTACTGATTCCCAGAGTAAATACAAATCACGGGAAAGCATAATTTAGTTACTACGCAACAAACTGCTGGAATGAACTTCCTGAAGATTTAAGACTTGCCCCAACTCTGACCACGTTTAAAACAAGACTGAAAACCTTTATGTTCAGCTTCGCCTTCTGCTAAATTTCACCTACATTGCACTTTAACCTCTGCCTTTAATTAAACAATTTAAATAAGATTTTAATTTATAATTGTATTTGCTGTTTTTAATTGTCTTTTAATTCCTGCATTTTATTTCACTTTATTTATGAAATGTTATGATGTGAAGCACTTTCAGTCTGACTTGTGTATGAAAAGTGCTATACAAATAAAATTGCCTTGCCTTGCCTTTCTTTGTGCATTTTGCTGATCTTTTTTATTATGAAATTAGTTTATTCTTGCTGTGTTTATGCTACATGTTTTTTTTTTATGACGGGGCTTCATCTGCATCTCCACACCGATGGCCTGATGTGCACAGAACGCCCTTTTCCCTTTCTCTCTCTCTCTCCCTCTCAGTGTATCCGAGCTGCGGTGCGAGCCCCCTCCAGCAGGCTCATTAGGGGAGTTTAGAGTGGCGGAGAGGGGATAAACATTTACCTTATCATTGTGTTTTACAAAAAGCCTGATGTTGGCTGCCTTTATAGGGTTCAAAGGGGGCTGTTTTTACAGGCTGGGATGAAGCCACATTAAAACCAGGAGGGAATAAACTGGCAGATGGGTTCTGGGAAGGATGGAAGAAGAGCAGAAGGAGATGGGAAGAGACGAAATACGAAAGTACGGGGCAAATATGTGTGAGAAGCCAAAATCTTCATCATTCATCTACTATAAGACATTAAACTGTGTGGACATTTTTGCCTGTCCCCAACCGTCCCTTTCCATCTCTTATTCTGCTCACAGTACCGGCAGGTTAAGTTGCTGGTTAACAAGTGTTGCCCGCGTGCCAGAGATTTATTTTCCCTGATTGCCTTTAAAATTCTGCTTATCTTTGACTCAGTGTCTCCCTCAGAGAGCTGTAATGGACTCCCCTGAGATACAATTGGCCAACCAAGGCCCTTGGTCCCTGAGTAGAATACAACACACACACACACACACACACACACACACACACACACACACACACACACACACACACACACACACACACACACACACACACACACACACTCTTGTGCGGCATGGTCTTATTTAGTAATTTCTTTCCTTTTTTAATCCAAAATGCTTATTTCCCCCACTGCCCCTTTCTACAACACATGCTAATGAGATGCTTTGTAAGGGCGTTAATTAGCGAGCCAGCTGCTGATTGCTGTGCTTATTTTTGTTGTGTGTGGGTGTGGCTGGCAGGGGGGGTATTAATATGGCTGTGTGCCGCTGAGGAGAGTTCTGTCAGGGTCTGCTCTGGAACCAATTAGGCTCCACTGTCCACAGAGGATGCTGGGAGAGTAAAAAAAAGAAGCCTGCTGCTTGCAATGTCAAACAGCAGCATTAACAGAGGCAGAGACGGACTGACGGACTGAGGGACGATAAGCAGAGGCCACTCGTACAGGCAGACGGTTCCTCTGCTGGATATCAACATCAGACAAAGAATACACTCACACCCTTTGTCGCGATCCTCTAACCTCCGTTGTTCTCAGGCCGACTCAAGCCGTGTTTAAAAACTTCACTGTAAATCGATTAATATAAAAGAAAGTATATATTTGTTGTTTGATTTTTACATTTTACATTTTTTTTGTACATAGCAGAGGAATACATTTAAGGTCACATCAGAATGAATGGCGCCCGTCGTCTTCTCCATCCGGGGAAACGTCTAGTCTGCTCTGTACATGAATGAAGTTCCCATTGCTGAGAATGTATGTTTACTCGTCAAGTCTTAGAAAATACGATAGCGTGAGGTGGCAAAGTCCCACCTTTCCTTTAGAAAACTACTTTCCTGCTCAGGAACAGGAAGTGACACTTGTGAAATGCTGACTCCAGGGCCTCAGGATGCAGCTCTTTTAGTCACCCCCCCCCCTTGCGCTTTCTTTTTTATTTTCAAAAGGCCTCAGAAGACTTTTGTCCCCCTCCGTTCACCTTTCGATTCTGTAGCTTTTTTTCCCCCTCCTTCAATTATTAAGGAAATTGAAGCCCATTTCCCAGGTCAGTGAGCAGGTCTGTAACGTTCCTCTGCCGCCAGAGATCCCAGTAGATCATAGTTAGTCGTTTTCTATTCATTTTAAATGTTTCAATGTCATGTCATAAGCTAATTTTCTCTGAAACAACCAGATGAAAAGCAACGGATTATCTCAATTGTTCAATTAAAGCATGCATACCTTTCATTCGAAAGCATTGGCAAAGGTAATTTGCACGTGGTTGTGCTGACACATCACTGTTTAAGCTCAGAAAAATCCAGTGGAGGTTGTTGTTGGCGCTTGTGCTTTTCCCGATTTTCTTCGCCGACGTAACACCTGCACTTTGCTCTGTTGCTGCTCTCCCAACCGTCTCCTCTAATCTCAGGTGCTTCCACTGAATCATCGACGGAGCGGCGGCTCCCCCCTTATTTCCAGGATGAGGCATTGTGAAAACCTGTTTCCTCGCATATTCGTAGCATGCGTCCATCTCTCCTGGGAGCCCTTCTCATCTCGACGTATTTGCTTATTTGTTTGTTTTGTACGTGGAGTATTTCTATAGACTGGGGATAAAAAAGTCCCACTTCCCCAACTAAAGTCTGCTTTGGCTCGCTGCTGAAGAGACCAGAAAGGAGGGGAT